GCGGATCTTCATCCTCCTGCAGCAGCACTTGGGGGGGCTGAGCCATGGGGGGCTGCGGGAGTAGGGGAGGCTGGGCCAGGGCGGGTGATACGGCCGGGGGACGGGCAGCCTTGGGGGGGAGGGCGGCAGCTCGGTTACTGGGCCGTGATGGCTGTTGAGGCAGTGCGTTGTGCAAAGCTGGAAGGACACAGTAGCAGGGTGGTGAGGCTCACACACCCCGTGGCCCCTGGTCCAGCCTTTCTCCTCCATCCTGACCTCCTACTTGTCTCCCTCCAACTGGCAACCTCTCCACCATCCTCGGTTTCCCAGAAGCTCCAGAATAAGGACAGCATCCCGGGAGGCCTACGGGACCCGGCCCCTCTCCAGCATCATCTTGCCCCATATGCTCCACACCCCCAACTCCCCTCCCTTCCCCTCCCTCGAACTGCTGCACCTGCCCTTCAGGTCTCAGAGCAAGTGCCTCCTGATTCCCACAGGTATGTCCGCTCTCGGATGAGGCTGTGCGCCCTCCCAAACCCCTATCCCTGACTGGGAGCTACAGAGGATCACATATTTTTCCATCTCACACCACACCTGGCCCAGCAGAAGATCTGAGTCAGTGTCTTCTGTACCCAAAGCACTCTCTCTCTGTGCAAGGCCCGTTCTGGGGCCTCTCGTGTAATTTCCATAATGGCCCCGAGAAGCTGCTAACCTCCCCTTAGAGACAACTGAGGTTAAGAGGGGTTCTGCAGGTCGCCCGGAGTGCCCTGTCACCGTGGTAAGACCAGGGTGGGAAGGGGACCTCCCCACACTGTTGCGGGTGTGGTTGCAGCTCACCTGGAGGAGAGACCACCGAGTGCTGGTTGAGATGAGGCGGAGTGCTGTGCTCGGGAGGCTGGGGCAGGTGAGGGGGCAGCTCGGGCTGCGGCAGGTGCAGGATGGGCTGGGTGAAGTGGCCAATGGGGTCGAAGACGCTGCCTGGGAGTTGGGGTTCCAGGACGGGCACCTGGGTGGCGATGAAGGGTGGAGGCGAGGACTTCATCGCAGGGGCTGCCTGCTGTGGCATGGAGGGCGGAGGGGGTGGGGGCGGGGGCTGCTGCTGTGGAGGTGGAGGCGGTGGGGGCTGCTGGGGAGGCGGTGGGGGCTGCTGTGGCACGGGGGCCGAGGCCTGCTGCATCTGCTGATGGTGGTGGTGATGGTGCTGCAGACAGACAGACAGACAGGCTGACGTCAGGCAGGCCAAACCCATCTGGGTCAGACACAGGGTCCCTCCAGGGCCCCAAAAGACAGGTGGCCTGCTAAAGGACACCCCCGAAACCACATACCTTCTTCTGCTCCCTCCCGGGGTGCCCCTTCTTTTTTGACTTCGGAGCCATCTCTGTGGAGGAAAAGAGAAGGTGGTGAGCCTACGGGGGAGAAGACTGGGAGCTGGCCTTGAACGCAGAGCAAGGAGAAAACAGAGGATGAGTTCAGGAGGACTGGTGACAGGGAGAGGGAGGGTGGCTGGGTTCTGTCTGGGATGGAAGTTGGTCACACGGGAGGGAAAGACATGTGGGGTGCCACCTACCCAGTTGCCTGCTGCTTTTTCCTAGTGGGGACCATGCCTGAAAAGCTGCCTGCCAACCTCCGGACCACCAGCTCCGTTAAAAGATGACACCCAAATGCACTGGGAACTGAGCTACGAGAAACCTCCTTGCCCAACGTCTCCTCCAATTTGCTGGTCAGAAGCCTCTACAGTGACCTGAGCATCTGCGCCCCAACCTGCTTTGCCTTGCAACAACCATGGTGTTTGAAATGATCTTGCCCATTTTACAAATTAGCAAAGTGAGGCTCAGAGAAGTTAAGGGACTTGTTCTGGTCACACAGCTAAAAAGTAACAACTCGGTGGCCTCCAACTGCATTGCCCTCTGAGGCTTGCTCCTTCCCATCCTCCCAGAGGAAACAGATGCGTGAGTTGGGGTGAGAAAGACCACTGGTGCCAGCATGGGCCAAGGACTGGCCACAGAACCATGGGACAGGTGAGGAGAGTGCTGACAAGCATGAGCACTTTGTGGAGGAAGAGAAGCCAGCCAGGCAGCCAGCCTCCCTGGACGACGCAGGAGCCAGTGGGGGAGGTACTCAATGCCATTGCCAGCAGAGGAGGAGGCCACTGGCCAGACTCCCCTTCCTCTCAGGAGACCGGCCTCAGAGAAGTCCCTGTGTTGGGATACAGTCAATGTGCTGCAGGGAGAAAGCAGTATGTGTCCCGGTTTCTCAGGAGCCAATGGCTTGTTGCCACCACTGTGTGGATAAATCTGGGGTGTGCCTGTCTCTGTGAGGAGTGTGCAAGAGCCAGCATGACTCCCTCTGCCCCCACTCTAGAAGCTTATGCTAAGGAACTTTTGCCAGCTGGATGCCCTTTGCCAAACACTGCTGGGTGTAAACCTCAGAGGAGAGAAAGCCCAGCCAGTGCTCAAGGGCTAGGAAATGAAGTCACCAACCACCAGGTGGGAGGTAGGACCCATGGTGCCTTTCGGATTCCTGTCACTGAGAAGCACCTCATGGCTTTGCCTGGCATTCCCTGAGCTCCTTGCCAGGGTGTTGGCTCTTGCTGCTGGTGTTGGAGGACACATGCTTTTGCCCAAAGCGGGGCTAGCTCCACTGCTAGCTCCAAAGCTGCTTCATGGAAGGCCGTGCTAAACTTCTGTGAGGTGCACAGCCTTGGTGCGACGTGTCACCAAAAGGGCTATGAGAAGGGACTTTGTGCCCTGCAAAAGCTCACCATTCCATGCAAGTGATAAGACAGTGACACAAAACTCAGCAGCTACAGACATGTCTCATACAAATGGCAGCGACTAGGGACACCTGGGACACAGGAACTGTAGGCCGAGCCCCAAACCCAGACTTGAGAGATGCCAGGATACAGGGCGTAGAACTCTTTGGGTCACATACAAAAGCTGGTGAGGACACTCTTGAGGATCACACATACAAAAGGGAGCCATCTGGGTGATTTGCAGGATCAGGCCACAGGGTGTCTGGCAGCCGCAGGATGGAAAAGGAGAGGCTGGAGGCCCAGGACCAAGCGGACCCTACACACACAGGGATAAAGCATGGTACACAGAGGCTGCTGACCCAAGGGAGTGGGAGAAAGAGGCCGGAGCATTCCTCCAGGCTGGGCTCCTCTCCCAGCATGGATTCCAGTAACAGAAACTGCAGGTGGGGAGGCTGGGGGCGGCTGCTTGCATGCTGGCATGCCTTTGGAGGGAGGGGACCAATGGGTCAAGTCTGACCAGGAGAGACCACTGTGTCATGGGGAGAAGGCTGGGCAGGGTAGGGGTGGCCTGTCATCTCATGGCCTTGGGAGGAAACACTTTTTTTCATCAGAAAAGAGGGACAGTGGCTCTGAACCCACACCATCTCCCTGCAGCCATGAGCAGAGAGGCCTACCTGGGAACTAGAGGGGAAAAAGTGCAATGGGGCCCTTAAGGATCCAGGGAGTGGCTTTCAGCTGCCTTAGAAAGGTCACTGGGAGTACCATCCCAGGGCTCCACAGAAGTGCTGGGAGGGGCAGGCCTAGAGTGGGAGAGAAGGTGGGAGGTGTGCAGCAGACCACCAGGACCAGAGGACTAAAGGGGCCAGCAGTGGGGACCAAGGGGTGCTGGAGCCTCTTTGGGACAGCCACATCTGGCTCACGTGTCCTGGGCCTCATGTTGGAGTTACTGGTAGGAAGACAAGACAGGAAGTGCACAACTTCACAACACACCAGCCCCAAGACACCCCCACACAAAACTCTCTAGAAAGGGTTACATGAAGATGGCCTCAAGTACTGTGTGATCTTTATTCCATTAAAATCTTGAACTCAACACAAGTTTCATCTTTACATAGGATGGTAATTGTACAAAGAATTAAAACGTTTTTGTAAAATCTGATTAAAACACTGATTCCTCCCCACTCCCCCACAACTCAAGGGAAGGAGACAGGATAGAAGGTAAGGGCAGAGGTGCGTAGCCCCTCAACTGAACCGGCTGGGAGCCTCAGCACCAGCAGATGCCCAGGCCTCCCACCCCTCCTACAGCGACTCCTCAGGCCCGGCTGGCACCTCCCACTGTCCGCATGCTGGAGGCTGCCGACAAGGAGTGGGCGGGCTTCTGCTCTCTCTGCTCTGTTCCTGGGGCACTGGGCATAGGTGACAGCTTGAATCTAAAGATCAGGTTCTCTGCCAGACGGAAGCCCCATGGGCAAGAAGGACGGGATCCCTGGACAGCGAGGCTGCAAGGACCACGCAGGACAGCTGGCCCGTGGCTACAGCCCATGTGCACACGAGTGGGAAGGAGGGGTGGGGAGGCAAACAGGCAGACACTGTGGGAATCTAGCCTGACTTTTGTTCTAAGACAGCAGAATCTTCCCAGAATGACAATACCAGCAGCTTCCCAACTGTGCTGTGGGAATCTCCGGGCATGAAGCTCCCTGACCCCAGCCAGGCTGAGCCGTACTGGGAACACATCAGGAACAGGCCAAAGGGCAGCTCAAAATAGTCTGTTTGGCGAATGAGCTCGACTGGAAGCTGACCGGCTACAGGATCAGGGAGCAGCCTAGGAACTCCCAAGTATCACTGCAGGCCCTGGAGGCTCTGGGGAGGCTGAACCTGGAACCCAAGGCCAAGGCCAGTCTGGGGCAGTTAGAGCTGCTTGGGCCCAAGGCCCCAGGGAGCTGGGGAGGAGTGCCAGGGTTTCCACACAGGCGGTGGCCAACTGCACCTCCTCAAGCCTGCTTCCAGCTCCAGCAGAAGGCAGACTCCAAGATGCCAGAAGATGGTTAGGCCTTGAAGAAATACACACAAACTATATATAAAACAAAAAAAGCTCTCTGAAATGCAGATGCTATTCCTTAGGGAACTTTTCACGTCAGGCAGTTTTCTGCTGAGATGCTGGATTCATGACCAAAAAAGGGCCGACATTTATTTTTAGAGCAAAAAAAAAGCCTATTCAGTGCCTCTCAGAGGGCTTGGATTATGTGGCCACCCTGACCTGCCCCATCCCCAGCAGCTGTCATCACTCTAGGGGACTGAAGACTAGGAGACTACTTGCATGTGCATGGAACAGGGTCCGAAGGCTCTGATGCCCTCACGATTGACTGGTCCAGTGCTCTGGGTTTCAAGAACCCTTTCTTGCCACTAGCCCAGATCCCAACCCCCACCAAAGGAAAGGATGATGGGCTAGAGGAGCCAGGTCAACTGGCTACACGGCCACTCCTCCCCAGACGTCCCTCACTAATGGCCTGCCTGGCAGCTCCTGCAGCCTGCTTCTAAGTACCTGGGAAGGGAGGGATTGGGAGGCAGCTTAGGAAGTACTTTCCCTGTGTGACTTTATGAGAAGAGGCCAAAGAAGTTGGGAAAATGCCCAACAGAAACAGTGGGAACAACGAAAACAGAAAGGAGGACTCCAGGGGGCTGTGAATCAGCTGTGGCTGGTGACAACCTCTGGCTAATGGAACCTTATAGGTCACCAGAGAGAAGGCACGCTGAGGGACAGCCCCAGTGAGCCTTTGGGCCCAGCTGGCCTCTCCTCTAAAGCCCCATTCCTCACTTAGGAAAGCTCTAGATGTTACAGTGTTCTTCCTTAGGGTGAATGAGATCTTCCCTGGGCTAACGTCATTGCAAGGTCCAGGAGGGAACCAGTTAGGATACAGGGTCCCCAAAAAAGAGGGAGGGATGAGGAGAGAAAACATATTTGTGTTGGGGTCTTGCACACGGAGCAGCACCACATGTATGCGTGTGCAGGGGGGACTGTCATCACCCTCTGGGAGATGCCACCCACCCAGAGGACCCCAGACGACCAGGGAGGCGGGGCAGGACAGCCAGGCAGTCTTTACACAGGAGGCCCGGGCGGGCAGCCAGGCAGGCAGCCTTCCCGGAGGCGGGACTAGGCGTGAGCTGCTGGACATGACTAATCCACCCCAGGGGACAGGCCCAGGGCTCTGAGGAATTCCATAACTTGATGGAGTCCTGTCCCTTTCACGGAAGAAAATGGACTTAAGCTATAGCTTGCTGGGAAGGAATCTGGAACTGAAGACCGTTTTATTAAGAGTCCGTGTCCAATGATTAGGCAGGACCTACATAGAGGGAGAGAGAAACCAGTGTGAGAGAAATGGTGTGGAATGTACCGTTCAAGTCATAAGAACAGAAGAACCGCAGACCAAGCCAGCCTCCTGTGCCCTGCTTGCTGTCAGGGCACGAGAGAATAGCGCCGCAGACTAGGAGTTCCACCCCCTGCCTGGCCAGCTGCAGGTGGGGACAGACCCACCTTTCCCTTAGAAAGGCCTCGGATCTGGCACGCATGGATGTCTCCAGAACCGCCTGAGTCTGTTTATGCTGTTTATGCTTCTACACAGAACTGCTTCCAGTAACAAGTTCCGTATGCGCCGAGTGCATGCTGGTGTTTCCTTTACTGGTCTTTGCATCTGAGAGGCTACCCTGCCTGTCCTCTTTGCCATCACTTCTGAAGACCAGCCTGGTGTGCCATGCGCATTAGGCGCCCACGGATTCTGATCTTATCCCCCAGGGTCTGCTTTTCTGCACCTATCTATCTCAAGGAGGTGATGCTGACCCTTCCTCAGGGCTTGGGTGGAGGTAGGAAAAGACCCTAAGAAAGATATGGAGTGCAGGACCTCTAGCTAACAGCCTCACCTCTGCATTCCTATCAACTGCAAGAAACAAACCAAAAAAAATTATAAAAAGAGGAGCCAGTTACACACACTGTTAAGGAGGAAAAAAAACCAAAAAATAAAAGCAGGTGGAGGAAGAAAGCTGTCCCTTCTTTGTCCCAGGCATCGAATGCAGCTCCCCTTGACCGGGGAGCGGGTGTGGGGCTCGTTCCCACCCATTTAGCAGAGCAGATGCTTCTGTTAGAGTCACAGATGCAACCAACACTGCACTCCCATGGTCCCCAAGTGCGCATGTGGGAAAAACCCGCCCACCGGCCGGTCTCTCATTCAAGGCACATTCCACAAGGCTCACCTTCGCCCATGAAGCCCTAAAATCCGTCCCTGCGTGTGTGTGGGAGTGTGAGGGTCACCTGGCAGTGCAGGCAGACTGGCTATAGTCCCGTCCTCCAGATCTCTTCCTACCCCCACCCCCACCAGGGGACTTACCCCCTCCCCAAGAGCGTGCGTCACACCCTTGGAGCAGGCAGCAGCAGGCCCCAAGATGGGACTGGAACGGAGTCCTTCCAAGACCCCAGGGGGTCGGAAGCTGAGGCTGGTTGTCTGGGAAGAATGCCCCATGGCCTCTGTCTGCACTTTCCAGCTCAAATCTTTCCAAAACATCAAGCATTCCTTTTCCCCTTGGAGCTATTAAGAAACACCCACATGCTCCGATCCTGGGAAAAGGAAACCAGGAGACTAAAATAGCTGGAGTGTGCTCCCTCTGCAACTAAAAGACCAAAACCAAGTCCAAGAGAATTCCCTGAACTCCTGTCCCAGCCCAGGCCAGGGGTGCTCCTGAGAGTGACAGGAACTGTGTGGCCACCCCTGCCCATAAAGATCTGTGGGTGGCATTTGGGAAGAGCCAGACATCAGCAATGTGATGGGGTGAAAGCTTAAGATGGCTCAGGGGCAGTGGGAGGGTGGCACTTGTACCACCACCTTCTGTCCCTCAAGCAGATTCAGAGTTTAACCAGAATCAAAGCTCAGTGGAAGACCACGACTCAAGTAACAGCTGGGTTCAAAAGATGTGGTGGGACTGGCCAGCAGTGCTGCATGCTGCTGAACAGGAGGAACACACAGTGGCCTGGGACGGAGCTGGAAAAGAAACACCCCCTCCGCCCCAGTCTGTGGACGCACTGCCTCCCTGAAGCAGCCTTGCCCCAAGGACCAGCCCCCATGTCCTGAGCAGCTAGCAGCATCCTTGTCTATGGACAGTGGCCAGAGAGGAGTCCACGTACCACTTCCCTAGCCCCGACTTAGTGCCTCTGGTTCAATTTCTTTTGGTGACTCATGTCTCGGGGCTGTGTCGGCAGAACTGACAAATATAGGCCCTTAGGAATTTCGGCACTAATCCAAATGGAAACACAAGAACAACAAGGGCAAAACCATTAAGCCCCCAAACACCAAGAGAAATACCTTCAATGCCCCCCACCAGGCCCCATCCCCGCAAGGCAGAACCACCTGTAACTGGTCAGAGAAATCTACCCAGCTCCAGGGACCCAGCACAAGCAGCTGCTGGAGGAGCTGCCCGGAGAGCAAGTGCAGGTTCCTGTGCAGGATGGGGGTGGCAGATGGCCACATCCAGTGGTGCCAGGGCACAGGCTCCCACTTTGGAACCTGTAGCATCTGAGCTGCAGGGCACAAACCTACAGGGTGGGTCCCTCCCAAGAGTAAAAGCTCTCAGCTGGCCTCCGACAGAGCTCTCCAGCGCACACAGAAGGCAAAGGAAAAGTCAGGACCACGAAGACAAAAGAGAGGCTCGTAAAACCCAAGGTGGGGAGGGTGCCTGGGAAGAGGAAGGAGCTGGAGGCAGCAGAGGGAGCCGCCAGGGCTGGACTGCCGGAGCCTGGGAGCCTGCAGGCTGGCGGCTCTGAGACTGTAAATCTCGCCCTCCTTCCTGCCAGGACAGCTGTTCCCAGGACTCTCAGATTACTTGTTGCACAATCCTTCCAGCTTCTTTAAAAGAGGGAAAAATGTGGAGGGGAAAAAAAAAAAATCTCAGCAGCAGCAGGGAGCTGCTAGAAATACCGTCATGGTCACTCCACAGCAGGCGGCAGCAGGCGGGCTGTAGGACGCTCAGAAGCTCAGGAGTCAGGGACAAAGGCCACAGTCACAGATTTGCAACGGGGACATCAGGTGTGATGGTCATGGCCCCCTAAGGTGCCACAGTGGGTGGGGCCAAACCATGCTGTTTTAGCTATCAGGTCCGCTGCCAATTTCAACCTCTGGGGTATTCTTTGGTTGTTCAGATCCTTAGGAGAAAAGGCTACGAAACCCCTAGTAGAAGCAGCCTGCTAGAAAATGCAGGAGGTACAAAACCCCAGAGGAAAAGACAAACCTGAGACTTGGCTGGCACTGGAAGTGAGAAGTCAGCAGCCACCAGGAATGCTAACTGGGCCCAAGAATATGGCCATTCACCCTGCTAAGGGCACTGGGCCCTGGCCTGGGGCCAGCTCTGCCTGAGCAAGCACCAGATGTGGCGCCCCCTGCTGGTAGGCAGGTTTAAAAAAGCAATGGAAGGGGGAGCTGGTTAGGAAGAAGGAAAAAATGGTTAAGGATGGAGAAAGAGGCAGCCAGCAAACTACTCACAGCAATCTTTGCATACAATAGGGGCTCAATAAATACAGAATATACTTAATGACTTTCATGTCACTTTGGCCCACTGAAAATGAGGTAGTCGAGAGCCCTCCCCCGACACTTGGGAAACCTGGTGTCCTTACTGTAAAAGGGAAGAGGAGCAGTGACAAGACCCAGAGGCCCCCTTGTCCCCAGCTTCCTTGGACAGAGGCAGGCTGAGCCCACAGGAGGACCTGTGGACCCACACACCTCAGAGCAGCTTCAC